ACAAAAGATTCCGTAGAAGCGTTGGTGAACGCTCCAGAAATGTCCAGGAATGCTCCAAATGCGTATTTCTTAAAGCCCTTATGATATTAAACATCAGTGTATAAAGGGGAGTCTGTACGGATCTGCCTTTTTTGGATGCGTGTTGCGCTTTGGATAAGCTTCCAAGAGGCGCTGCCCATTTTAGTTTATTCTCCGTAATGACGTTTTCGGGAAAGTTTACAGCACTATTTCCTTCATAGCTAGGATTTACCGCGAACTCACGGACAGGAAAGTGCACACTGACTAGGTCTTCTAACGAGTCCTTACAATTGTCCGTCCACTCTCCGCAACTCTTGCGAATTAGACCGGGCGAGGCGGGGCTTTTGGATAATAGTTTCTTGAGCCTCACCTCTCGTGGGTCTTTTCAAAGCTACTACAAAAGTTCTTCAGGATTGTCGTACATTTATCTTTCATTGGTTAATGATTGAAAATATTTTGCAAAACGTTCGTTCTTAAACCTTTTAATTTTTCGAGTATAGAAATAATAAATTTATAATAACTTTATACATACATAAGTAGTACATATTTACATGCATATATGAATCAAAGGAGCCCTTTTTTCTGATGGTCGCCGGTCGCCGTTCATTTTAATAGTAAGCTAATAAAGGTTCAAGTGCATCATCTGTTTATTTACACTTGAACCTAATTTTTTTTTTGAGCAAAGCAAAAAATAAAATAATAATACACAGTGCAGGGCTTCGAAAATATTTTTACTATGAATTACCCACTCTGGAGACTTACAATTTAAGCTAAAATTTTAAAACGTTGAAATACTAATACATGTGAATGCATAGTAACATATGCACATACGGGCACATATGTATGTACTCTGGATAAGTAAATGTTTTTTGCAATCAATTATATTTAATAAATACGTACATATGTATATAAACTGTACCGTATTCTATATAAATATGTAGATACAATGTGTGTGCAAACATCACGCTCCTTTTGGCGCGATAGCATACATATAATGTACTTGTATGCGTATTTTATAATTAAATATCAATGTGTACATTTTCAATTTCCCTTTAGAGAAATTCACTAGTCATAAATAAGCTCACAACTAGTATGAATTGCAAGCACATCTTATCAGCTACTTTTTAATTTAGCTGTCTAATATTTCTTAATGACATATCTTAGCTTAAAATAAAGCAATTTAAATAAAATATTAAAAATATGTAAATTTGATATAATTAATTGCATTAAAACGTTGACATCACATAATTTAATGGTTATAAGCCTAAACTTTTCTGACTAGTACGAATTTATTAAAAGTCTAGTCGTAAATTAGTGCTATTATTACTGATTATCTTGATGCCTCACTGCAGGGTACTTATGAGAATACATACATAAACAGAGGCCTATCTTCATATGCATGTTCGTATTTGTTTACGTAGGAAGTGAATGTACTGAAGAGATTCCATTCAGTTTTAAGCGAAGTATTTAGCCGTTCGGACGTCGTACTTTCCAACAACAAGTAAATACATACAAGTGCAATAAAAATAACAATTCCTGAGTGTTTAACAGCTGCCAATTAAATAAATTAGTAGCCTAAAATATTTATATTTCTAAGAGGCTTTTGCCGATTTCATCATCATATACTGATACATTTGTATGTATGCACATGCATACATTTATACCAAGATTGTACATATACTAAATACACAGACTCATACTTGTATGTTATGTGTCAGAGACTGATAGTTTTGGTGATAGAAGAATCTTGTGAGCTAAAAGTTGTTGATAAGACATCTACATATGTAAACACATAAATATAAAACTTGAATCTTGGTTCCGGCATTTTTATTCTTTTTAGAAATAGATAAATTGACTATCAAATTATAAACCAATGCTTACATTATTAAATTCGTAATGGTTTGCAAGTGTTAAAACTTAAAACCATTAATACATAAATTGACTTTTACTGTGAATGAAGAACATTGTTGATTAGTACTTGTTTTTTGCATTATTGTAATTATGACAACGGAAACGCTCAAGCCCTTTCTATCAACGTCCCGCCAAGTGGATAGCGTTACTACAATGCGCTTGAGCACGACATCACATTGTTATCCTGGCTTCAATCTTAAGCGGATAATTTTCAGCACATTTACTGTGGTTTTATTTTTATGTTTGTTCGGTTTTATGGTGAGTATAGCAATTAATTGAGTAAGTATATTTAAACCCGGTATCTTCAACAAGAAAATTTCTTAAGTCAGGTGAGATCTTAAATGAAGCTCTCTTTTGGGTTTCTCAAACTTATTTTATAGTTTTGCACGCTACTTTCTGCAGTTATAATATGCCACACAAACTGAACCATCGTAATCAAGACAAGATATCTTTGTGAAATTTCGTAGGGATTATTATCCAAAAGAATGCTAAAATATCTGAATATGAATATGAATGAATGAATGAAAACTTTTATATTTGACCAGATATCTTCACGAAATGTCGCATGGATTTTTATCCAAGGCAGTGCTACAATAACTAAGCAAATTGTTCAGATCGATCCGATCAATATCAAGTTCTTGCATGGAAACTTTTAACTGACTTGACTGAATCAAGACATTCCGTAACGGAAATAAACCTAACACAACAATTGAAGAGACAGCAGGGTGATTCAAAAATAATAATATTTAAAATACAATTTTTTTAAGGGTAAATAAAAACATGGAATTTAATAAAAATTTAATTAATAAAAAAAATTATTCAATAATCGGAGTCTCAATATTAGTAACATTATTATTAAGCTATTGCATAGCTTTTATCGCGGGCTTTAACCGCGGTAACCGAATCAAGAAATTCCGTATTGAAAATAAACCTAACACGGTCACAAAGTATGCGCAAAATGTCTGCATACTTTTAGGCGTATTTTCGCATATCTGAAGCGGAACAAATCTAATGAAGAACAGGGTGATTAAAAAAAATTAACAATTGCAATTTTGTCAATGGCAAATAAAATTATGGAATTTAATCAAAATTTTATTGGTAAAAAATAAATTCTTCAATATTCGGAGTCATAGTATTAGTAACATTATTATTATTTTGGTAAATAGCTACCCCACCTTTTGGAGCAGTATCTCGTTTGAATTAAACAATACAATTGAAATTAGGTATTTTAATCGGATTATCAATGGTAATAAATTTATAATAAACTTATCTTGGCTGGCGATTTCAACATCAACTTCGCTGATATATGATATATTTTAGCATCCCTATCTAGGGTGAAAATAGGTGAAATCGGATGACACAAGATAAACAAGAAAACACATGTGTCGAGATCTATTTGAATTAAAATTATTCTGATATGCCTATGTCACAGTACAAAAATGGCGAAATCGGATTACAATCACGCCTACTTCCTATATAACACAAGTTTAATCCCATATGATATTATGACTCTCCAGTACACAAATCAAGCACTAATAATAATATTAAAATAAAACTTACCAAAAAGAGTGCCTTCAAGATATGCCATCTCAAGTCTAAAAATTCTCAAAATCGGGCCATATCTGTTCAAGCCCTCATATTCGAAGAGAATCCTTTCTGATAAAATTATGTCTGTATCTCAAAAATGGATTGAATCGGCTTAATATTTCTCTTAGCCCCCATTCACCTAATAAAAAGATTTTTGGACTGCCAGCTATCTTTGCAATATGTGAGTTATCTTAATAAAATTGAGCGGGCGTGTTTTTCTAGTAACTGTGCATCTGTGTTCCTAAAATGTGTTAAATCGGGTGAAAACTAGCCCTAGACCCATATAACTAATATCAGGATTTTCAAATATCCGGTTGACTTTACTCCTTATATAGTATATTGTTGATGGGTACCTTAATGAAGCACAGAAAACGTATTTTTTTGTAAATAATATGTAGTAATGCCAAAAATAGATAAAATCGGGTAAATTCTACCCCTATCTCTCGTGGCCTTAGACCGTATATATTCATCCATAGGTAAAATATCTTAGCAAAATTAACTAAACATATAGTATTGGATATACTACAAGTATAGTTTAATGTCGAAAATATGTGAAATCGGTCCAGCGCGTTACTCATACTCCCGTATACTACTTAATGATTAAAGATGAGTAAGGATATAAAACTTTTATATAATAAATCACTAGATGTCTAGCGACAACAAATGCTAAGCTAAGATTTTATTATTTTTATTTGATGGTACCTCTTAGTGTTCCAAAAATTAAATTCATTAATCTTTTGTGGAAACAGAACAAAATTAAGATTTAGATTAAAATTTGTCATTCAAGAACGTATCATTAATATTCCTCTGTAAACTACACTTTATTTATAGTTTAGATGCCTGTGTAATGGAAAATGTTACAGACAATAATGTAATCTAAGAAAGTATATATTTCTAAAAGGGTCTGCATCTTCAAAAGTACTGATTTAACTTTTACGGCATTCACATTTTTTGTAAATTTTACTAAATTAAAAAAGACAAATTGACTCAATGACTGCAATATTTCGTTCCTGAAATATTACAATATAGTAGTAGTAAACAAAAAAAGGAAAAGAAACACACGCATCAGACTCGTACTTTTGTTTGGACCGCGCCGGTTTTTAAAAAAGTTAATAAAGGATATCGGTTTCGATTCCATTGGAGGGAAAAACGCACAGTGAAATTAAAGAATGCTTAGATGCTGTAAACAGGGAGTTTTCTTTGATGACGATAGTTTAACGAGCTACAACAGTCGAAACATTGAGCTTCACTGACAAACACGGAAGATGGATTCAACAGACGAGGCCTTGAAGAAGTTGGAGAAACGCTGGGGCAAGTGTATGCTATCGAGCTAAAAAGTGACTATTTGGAGAAATAAATTGCTATTTTTCATTACTGTTGAAAATAATTTATTGGCAAAATAATTATTGGGTACACACTCGTATGTAATAGTAGTTATAAAACGAAATATATGTAAAAATACACTGCTTAACAAAATTTTATGAAAGCTCATATCAAATTTCGAATGTACTAGGGCTACAAAATAATAAGATGCGAATAAAAAATAAATTAACTCGTTAGATTTTCTTTTGATATCAAAACATATATTTTCTTAAAAAGTACAAACATCAGCTACATTTAGAGAAATTATTTTTTAATATAGAAAAAATACTTATGATTTTCGAGAATATTTGGCTTGTGGAAGGTCTTTTTTTAAGTCTCCAACAATAATTTGCTAGTATCGCTGCGCTCCATTTTCCTGATAGCGCGTCTCATTAAGGAAATGTTCGGATAGAACATCTTCGTTGTTCGTCACTCACAGCACTAAATTTTGCCGGAAAGCAGTCCAGATGAGAGTCTAGCATATGTATTTCAAGGACATATTACACCCCAAAGCTTTATATGACATTATATGTTCATTTATTAAGTCTTTGTAATTTTCCGATTTTTTTTTGGATAACGAAAATTTTGGATAACGTTCACAAAACATTTCCATATAGTTTTTCCTGATCATTTTGTTTCTTCAAAGCTCGTATCCTCTATCAGTTACCGTATTTGTGGCCTACAAATATTCCCTCTTTAATTTTACTTTGCTGGGTTTTGGGAATTTCTCTTTCACGACGCATAGATTTAAAGGTTAATTCTCATAACAAAAACTGTCGGGGTCGTTAGAGGTGTGGCATGTTTACGGTATAACAAACGATTAAATATAGGTACAAGTATGTATATGATGTAAGTTAGATTGCGTTCGACTAACTACAGTAGTATAAAGGAAGTTATATATATACACGTATGTATATGAGTTCAGAAATGAATATGTATCTGTTGTAAAAAAAAAATGGACGTGATTGAAACAAAATTATTATACAATATATTGTTAATGAGGGTACACCAACATAAACATAACTCATCACAAAGTTCGTTTGGCGAAAACAGTGTTTACCAGCGATAATAATTTACAAATATTATTATAGTGCTAAATAGTATATTAAACAATGGAACGTATCTATAATTACAGTTCTATGAAAAAGAGTACGTACGTTTTTACCTTTGATTTGTTAGCCTAACAACCAACAATATAAGAAGAGTTGATCTTTATAAATATACATATAATATTATATATATATATACGTTTATTTCAGTATGTTCACTTTCGACGTATTTCCCAAATTGAAAGGAACGTTCAACATTTGACGCAAATAATATTGAAAATGCAGGTACGACTGGACCTGACGAATCAGGACGAACTGGGCGATTATGGAAATGAGGTACTTAAACGTTAATGAACATAGCATTATATAATGGTAAATTAAAAAGAAACTAGTAATGAGTGGAAGGGTAATGATCAGGATCATGTGTATCATGTGTATGTAATATAAAGGCTGGACATAATAAACAGAATATTCGTCTTAGAAGGCTTGTCGGTAAACTAGAGCTAGTTGCTAAAGACCCCTGAATCCGAGAGCAGGAATGCAATCATTTTCGAGAACAAGGACTTTCTCTCTGTGCGCAGTCACGAATGTGGGACGGCTTTCTCAAATAGAGTGGTTTAAAGGGATTTTATGGTATTAAGCGTAGAATTAAAGGATTATAGCCCTTACTTTACTTTTATCAGTATGTATAATTTACTTAATTTACTCCCACATCTTTATAAGAGTAGTTTTAGTGCGATTACTTTTGCTAGTAATAAACAGTCATTTGCTTTTATATGTTGTAAATATATATGTTTGAAAATAATCTAGTACGATACCGTAATTATTGATCAACCAAAAATATCACATACTGGTGGTGGAAAATTACGCCAAGGTGGTGAACAATATACAGTGCACGCTGATCATTCCGAAAATGAATTTGATTACACTGAGTTTAGAAACCAATTGCCCATAATGAACTATGACGAGGATGAAGATGGTGAAGCTAAAAATTACATTATTAATGACAATTCTAAAAGAAATGAAGATTTAGATGATATTAACGTAATGGAAATATCAGATGATGGCGATTTGTACAAAGATTTTTCCAAATTCAATGCCTCACGAAAAAATAATACAAGGTATAAAATTTTATTTTTTAACTTATACCTACATACTTCAAACAAAAAATATTCATTTACACTTTCAGTGCGCGTAATCCGCGTGCGATTGAATCAGAACTATTTAGCAAAGGCAATCCAAAATCTGAAATCATAGGCTTAAGAAAAAGTGCTGATGAAGGATCTTTGGATACGCTTAATCACCCAAAGAAAATGGTGATACTTAGGTAGGTATATATGTAAACGATTTTCATTGGAGCATGCCCTCGTTGGTAAGTTATACCAGATTACATAAGTAAGTGTCTTTAACGTGTCAAAATCATATATATTTCCACATAAATATATACAATACATTCCTCTTTTCCAAAAAAATTTTGGCGGAACGACTAAATTTACCATGGATTATATGTAAGTTTAGTTTACTTCTAAATAAAATACTTTCAATATTTTGGTTTATGTCTATTTTTTTTTTGTGTAAATTTGCATACTCATACAACTTGTTGCTACAAAGTATAATAGTTTTGTTCACCTAACAGTTGTTTGTATCACCTAAAACTAATCGAAATAGATATGGAGGTATTTATATATAAAAGATCAAAATGGCGAGACGAGTTGAATTCCGAGTGACTGACTGTCTGTCCGCCATGAAAGCTGAGCTGAATTGAGATATTGTAATGAAACTTGGTGCACAGATTTCGAGTTTGTAGATCGAACTACTGCCACGCCTACAAAACGCCATTAAGCGAAAACTTATAAATGCCACAACAAAGCATTGTAAATTTGTAAAAATGGACGATGTCAGCCCTCTAAGAGGCTTAATGCACACATCTCCTAAACCACGTAAGATATGGTACGATTACCAAAATCGCTCAGGACAAAACCCTTAAGCACCCCTATCGACACTAAATAATTATATAAATAAATACTTCAGAGGCATTAAATTTGACCAAAATTGTTAAAATCTGACCACAACTGTCCAAGCCCCCAGATACCGAATATGTTAACCCCAGTTCCTACAGCGAACATTTTATTGAAAATATCGGTCGATCTGTGAGATATGCTATTGAAATTCGGAGCAAGTTCTTTCTTAATAACAGTATGCCTGTATGTCAAAAATCGGATGAAGGCTTTTCTTAGTCGTCATATATATACCAAATAGAAAGATTTTTGAACTGCCGGCTACCTTTATACAATATGTGAGTTATCTTAGTGAAAATGAGAGAACGTGTTTTACTTATAACAATATATCTTTGTAACTAAACGGGTTGAAATCGGGCGAAAACTTGCCCTAGTCCCCATATAACTAATATCACGATTTTCACACATCCGGTTGATTCTACTCCATATACTCGTATAGTATATTGGTGAAAGTGTAACTTAATGAAACTCAGGGAGCATTTTATTAGTATATATAATGATTTCCGACTTATCACTTGACTTTAATTAAATGGACAAGTTTCCTTGAAAATTATGTGGCTTACAACTGAATATGAATGGAATTGGTTTAGACCTTAGTATCAACCTCATATTCCTTATGTAAAGAATTTGGACCCTCTGTTTGACGTTTTTCACATCAACTCAATATATTAAATTTAGTTCTTCTGTTGAAATTTTTCGCAATATCTTTTGATATAAAGTTTTGCCAAAACCTATGAGTATTTCGCCGACTTTGATCCTTGCAAGTAGCAAGAGTATAAAATGTTCGGATACACCCGAAGATAGTCCTTCCTTCATGTTATAATTAATTTTCTGAGTGTTTAACCCATTTTGTTCAGAAAAATAATTCTTCTTATCCAAGATGATTTCAGGGAAAGAAATGATATAACTTCTAAAGGTTTAAGGGTGCTTTCGCAAAGAACTCTACGCTCTTCAGATACATATATCCTATATGTTAACTTTCCATACAATGCAGCTCAAGGAGCTTTTATATAACCGTTAAATTGAAAGTGGCCGTCGTGATTGTCGGATTTCATTCATTTTCCCATAGGATTATGAAATGCAAAAAATGGTGTATCCACTAAGTTTAGTTGCTTGTTTAGTAGCTTGTGAGACATGCACATTAAATTTGTTAGAGAAGAATCACAATTACCTTAGAAATATTTCAAACGCTTACTCCGTGTCACTCCATCAAAAAAATTATACCCTTTTAATAATATAACTACTTTTATAATGAGAATCAAAAATATATGTATGATGTGACGTCTCGACAAAAGAAAAAAAAACAGGAAGAAAGGGATGTAACCGAACTTTTCATACTCTCGCAACTTACAAGGATCAAAGCCAGGGAAATACCTTAGGTGTTGGTACCAATATATTCATTGGTACTTGATTTGTATACTGCAAAGTGAAAGAATCAGATGGAATTTTAAGTTGTGTTATATTGGAAATAGGGGTGGTTGTGATCTGAACTCTGTAACAAAGAAATATCAAAATAATATAATGTATTTCAACTAAATTCGGTGAGTATTTCCGAAAATATAAGATTTCACCTAAAGGCGGCGGGTGCCACGACCATCGTCCAATTTTGAAACCGGTTCCTATAAAGCCTTCTTGTACCATGTAAAATGTAATGTCTCTGCCGCGTTTAGATATTGATTTATTTAACTTTTAGTAATTTTTAACAAAAACGTTTTATGGGGAGAAGGCGGAGTTATTATCTGATTTCACCTATTTTCGCATTGTCATAAGAGGTGTCGAAAGGATTTGTCCTATGCAAATTTGGATAATATCGCTTGAATGATTTGGGAGATATGTATATATAATAAACTTATTAGGGACGTTGCAATGCCCACTTTTTCAAGGTTTTCAAACCACAGTTCTCCCACGTTAATGCGATTCGTTGTACCAAATTACAGTTTTGTATCATAATTTCCGGCTTAGTTATGGCCATTTATAGGCTTTCGATTAGTGGCGTTTTGTGGGCGTGGTGTCAGTGTTCTGATTACGCCCATCTACAATACCGAACTTCTTATGGTGCCAAAAAACATGTTACAAATGTACCAAGTTTCATCAAGATATCACAATTTTTACTCAGGTTACAGCTTGTTAGTCGTCTATCAGAATAGCGGTATTATTCAGTCAAGATGATGTGGAATGGCATATATCAGCTTCTTTCCCAATGTTATAATATATATATGAGAAAGGCGTAACTGTGATGTCAAATATATAATAATCAAGTATTACTATATATCTAATTTCATTTATAGGCTGCCAATTTTAGGTAAAGAATTATCAGACGTTAAACATGAACAAAATATTTCAGCTATGGAACAAAAAACTTCAAAGCAATCTCATGGGAGAGGAATGGACCACCGAAAGTATAAAAATTCTATTGTAAGGAAAGGTAAGTTGTTGAGATTAAGTTGGTAGATTCCTTCATCCAAAAATGGAGGAATGTTCCATGTAAAAAACTACATGTAAAAAATTACAATTGAATACATAAGTTCGTAATGTAGTTTGAACCGATTTTTTTTTTAAATTTACTTGTTTGCAGCTAAATCCGCGCGTCAAATACAAGCTATAGCGAACGCTCCCGCCGCACACTTTCATTTAAACCACAAAATACCAGACCGTTTTGCCAGCATTAGAATCGATTGTAAGTGTTTATGGACATATGTATGTATGAATGTATGCAATAAACTTTTAATATAAAGCTTATGCAGCTTAAAAAATATTTATTTTTAGTATAATTAAAGACTTTTTCTAGTCTCGTAACGTGTTGCGTAAATTTTTATATAAGTTTTGTTTATAAACGAAATTTATTATAGTCTCCAGTATGTAAAGTAAATTATGTAATTTTAATTATTGCTTTATTTGTGTTTAATAGCTTTTTCTGGGGACATGTATATTGGTCATCCCAGTTGGTCAAATGAAATTGACGTCGATAAGTATTTCAAAGTGGAAAATGGCGTATTAACAGTATATGAAACAGGCCTTTATTACGTATACGCTCAAGTTTGTTATAATAATACTCATGATCAGAATGGATTTGTAATATTTCATGGTCATAAGCCATTTCTTCAATGTTTAAATACTGTACCAACGAACATGCCACACAAGATTCATACTTGCCACACTAGCGGTCTTATATACCTAAAGGAACATGAAACAATTCATTTACGGGATTTTCATAGTGATAGAAATGCTATTTTAAAGGAGTCCAATAATCGGAGCTATTTTGGGTTAATAAAAATATAAAAAATATAGAGAAACAATTTACAAAATTTAAATATGTAATATATATGGTTACACATAGAAATAAATGTATATACTTACATACATACAGTTAATTTTGGCTATTTCAATTATTATAAAAAATTTTGTACAATTTATACACGTTTTTCTGATTGAGATTCTAAATTGGGTTTTAATTGTATATTATACATACATGTGTAGAGCTACATATTATCTGTTCCAATATACATAATTAAATTACAACTACAATTATATTCATGACTACATTATTTACTAATTTAAATAGAAGACAATGCCCCGACCGCAACAACAGTTTCGAGGTTGGTACAGAAATTCGAAGAATCTGGGTCAGTTGCAACCAGAAAATCGCCCGGTCGAAACCGTAATGTTCGAACGCAACAAAACATTGCGGTAGTGCAAGCCAGTGTGAATGTGAGCCCTATGAAGTCACTTCGCCGTCGTTCGCAATAGTTGGGTATGTCAATATCTTCAGTGCATCAAATACTAAAAAAAGATGTTGTTGTTGTTGCGCTCGAGGCCCTGTCACGTCCAAAGATAGCGCGAAGTTTACGGGCAGTCTCTGCGTAGCACTCCCCGTTTTTGTAATAAGTTTTCACAAAAAGAATGAGTTGCTCGATACTGAACCGTTCCTCCTGGTCTTATAATCGGAGTGATAATAGATAACGAAAATGATAGGAACAGTGCTGAGAATCTTCAAACAAAAAAATCCCGGGCAATTTAAAAAGTGCGTACTTTATGAAACACCCTATATATGACGATTGTTTTAATTTTAAATTATACTTGCTTCAAATATTCATTCTTAATGTTATAAAAATAACTTCAAAAGTAACAAAAATGGCAACATAAAATGTAGCGTAAATGTTGTTTAAGAAAATTATATTTATAATAATCACAAGTTTCTGATAGCAAATATTTGCACGTAACAGGTGTCTCTAATATTATTAAGAAAGAGAAAATTCTCATACTCTAAAAGTACGAGTACTCGTGAATGTGTCTACATATAAGTATTTAATTACATATAATATACACATACATAGATACAATAATAAAAGACGTCGGCCGGCTATTGCGCAGGACAGATGCGTAGCTTTCGGGAAACTATAAAATATGCGGAATGATTTCTACGTATACATGAGCTTTTGCTTGTTGGAAATTGTTCGTCTCAATTTTCACCTACATACATACGTATAACGTAACAAAAGAAGTTACAAAAACTCCAATATTTTAGATGGTGAATAAATGGTATACCTGCATACATAGTTGTTAATTTGTAGCGATTGCCTATTTGAGCTATAACTTAAGGGTGCAGGTTGTTATGGTGCTGCGTAGCTCACCGGAAATTTTTAGGTTATTAAAAAATATGAAGTTGATGACCGTTCAATGAGAAGTAAGTGTGATCTTTGTGCGATTTCGCTAAAATTTTGTTCCTTTTCTATTCTTAAATGAGTGGAGGTAGTGAAAACTTTTAGTTTAAAAAAATCTCCCTAAAAACAAATGGAATGTAAACATAGTACGTACCTCAAATCTTGGCAAATACAAAAGTAGTCGGATTAATGCAACTTTACCGTTACCATTACTTTCAGCGAGTTCTCTACTATCATAATTTACTCAATTTCCTCCAAATCGCTTCTGATCCAGAAAAAGTGGGTTGGTTTAGCTAATATTAGGTTAGTTTCTTAACTGCTATTTATTACTAGCTAGCCAAGTTTCTGCTGGAAAAGCGTTACTTAATCCAAAAGACTAGCAGAAGAGTTTCTGCTGGTAATATTTCTACTAGCATATAAAAGCTACTGCCATATGAACAAACGGCTGTTAAAAACAGGCGATTTGTATTGTGAAAATAAAAATTCTATTGATTAATTTTCAAATGTTGATATGATTTGATTAATACGTAAAGCAACATTTTTTTTCTTGTTAATTTCATTAGTTTCTTCTAGTTTTACTATTCTTTACTGTTTCTTCGTTTTACCTTTCTTACTTCGCTCATTGTGAGAGTAACTTGCTTTCTTGTTCATGCTGATAGATAGCAGCTACTATCAGCTATGAAACAAACCTATTATAACCTTTCCAAAATATCGGCATCTTTTGTAGGATAATCCACTAAAACACAAATAAAACAAATCAATTAATTTGGTATATGAGATTCATAAGTAAATTTTTTATTACACCATATTAATAATTAGCATGGCATAAATTGATATTAAGGATCAAAATAAAAAGGAACAGCTGATAGTCGACATACATAAACACCGTAATAATGAAATGAAAGCACTCTCGAGTGATTGAGCTTTCACGAGTGCTCTATATGAGACGAATAACAAGCATATATCTACGTACATAGCTATACTTGTACTAGCTATAAAATACGATAACTGCGAACACGAACACCACTTTAGAATGTGAACAGTAAGGATATTGACTAATTGTGACTGCTGACGTATACACTCATTTCTGATAAAGTAGAAAAAAGAAATAAAATAAAAAAGTGATAAAATTTGCAGAATATTGTTTGTATTGGGTGAGTAAATTATTGAGTAATACTTTTTTGTCTTATTAAAAAGTGCAATATTTGCGAAGTGCATTTCATTATGATAATACACTGATTAATACTTTTGTATTAACGAAATATAGTATACCAAGTTTATCGAAAATTTAAAAATTCAGTTCGAAAATTTGGCCATCAATCAGTCGAAAAAGTTCAAATGTTATAATTTGTATATCCATGGCATTTGACGAGTGTAGTTTTAAGAGAGACCTATAATATTGATACTTACATATTATACTCATACAAAACTTTTAATAAAGTTTAGACACTACATACAATATAAGTATGTTATATATATAACACACTTTGGTTACAAATTGTCTGTGTCTAATAAAAAATTGTATAATGCTCGCATATACATATACATACACATAAACATACTTATATGAATAGTTTATTTGTCACGTTTTCCGGTTAATAGTAAAGAGAGTTTGTCTAAAACATAAAGGTCTTAAATTTTGCAATTATATTCACATATGTAAGCATGTACATACTAAATACATAGACATATGTATTTGGGAAATATACAAGAATACAGTGCAATATGTTTTGAGTGTACAACCACCTTCTCTAAACCAATGTTGTGTATATTAACAAGAAAATATAAGTTATTTTTTTATATATGTACATACGTACACCTGAATACATACTTATTCTTACTAATATATTTAGGATTTTGAGAGAAATACATTTATTCAAAACATAGGATACACAAACAAATAATGCCGTTGCATTTGCGCATCAAAATATCTTATGTACATACATACATCGCTGAAGAGTATATATGCGGTATTTCACTTGTTGACCTAAAACTAATCGAGACAGTAATGGATTATAAAATGAGCGAAATTCCGTGTCCATTCGTCCGTGCAAACGATAACTTGAGTAAAAATTAAGATATTTTGTTAAAACTTGGTACATGTGGTCCTTGGCACTATAAGAAGGTTGTTATTGCAGATGAGCAGACCATTGCAAAGCTTACAAGAACCTATTAATCGAAAAACTATAAAGCACTGTAACTAAACTCCAAATTAAGACAGAAAACTGTAATTTTTGGTACAGGGAATGAAAGTATGGAAAGGCGTGTGTGGTTTTAATTTCCTACAAATATGGGTGTAACTCAGCCCCCTAATCGGTAATGTATATTTCTCAGAAACCGCTTAAGCTAAATCAACCAAACTTGCAGAGAACCAGTCTTTCGTAATGGTACTTAGCGTACCTTTAAGTTAAATCCTATATGCCAGGAACTACTCTACCATTTTCTGTCAAATTCGGCGAATAACATTAACATGGAGTTACTGGAAAAAAACTTAGTGTCAGAAATAGTGCCTCTGAGCATGGCATCTTACATCCATAAATTGTTCGGACCAAAACTGTTCAAGCCCTCAGATATCGAATGTGTTACTTGCAGTGTTTATGATTGACTTTTCACCAAAACTAACGGTCAATTTCTGAGATATATTATGGAATTTCAGAGACAATCTCGTGGACAAAATCGGATAAAGGTTTTCGAACTTCCGGGTGATTTTTTATCGGTCAATATCTAAGATATCTAAACAAAATTA